CCTTTGGGGCTGAGGGTAACTGTCTGTGGGGGGAAAGGTGTTTTGTGGTGGTGGGAGATGGGGGATAGGTGGCGTAGGTGGAGTAGGTAGAGTAGGTGGAGTAGGTAGAGTAGGTGGAGTAGTTGGAGTAGACGCAGGGCGAGGGGAAGGCGAAGTTAGTAATCCACTCTCCCACATTACTCTGCCCCTTTCCCTTCCCTGCATTGAGCACCATGGCAGTTCACTTCCCACTTCCTCGCAAATGATTTCCCTCTTCGCATCCTGTTATTTTGGGCGTTGGTATTTGTTACTTGGGCTTTTACGTGCTTTGACCCGTTCCCTCCGCCCGCGCGGCTGCTCATGGCTCCGGAACCTCTGCCCTCTCCGTCCGGCCGCCCGGGGGTTGCAGATGGCGATACGGCGACGGTCTACTTCAAGGCCCCGCACGGCAGTACGGCAGTGCTTACCAACGAAGAGCGCACCTCCATGCGCTCGGGGGTATCCAGCTCGGCTCTGGTGTGCTGGGGGAAGGGGTTTTGAGGGAACGGGAGGGGGGAAATGGTCATGTTTGGGGGTCTGCGTGCATGCGCGTGCCTGCGTGCCTGCGTGTGTTTTTATATTTCTTGCGTGTGGGGGGGAGAGGAGAGCGATAGAGATGGCGGAGGGATTGCGTGGAGGTCGCCATCCACCTGGAGAGAAGTTCGTGGAAGGCGCATGGGTTTCCTTCGCTTCACTTGGACTCCTGCTAACTCAGCGAACGGAACCTCAACCCCCCCCTCTCCCAATTCACCCCCACCCCGCCAGCCCCAACCCATGCACATATAAGGCGTAGAGTCAAAGTTGATGAAAGCTTGCTCAGACGCTTGTCCTTGACAAGAAGTAATTCAATATTCTAAATGCCAAAGGTTATCGTATTATCCTCGTATCCAGTAACTACGTGATCATTACCAATTTAACCCAGGGGGTAAAAATGTTGTATCAACACTGGCGGCGGGTTCGTTACAAAGGGACGCGCATGGTGTGCTTTCAAATAAACAAATGATTATTTTTTTGTTCGTATGTAGGTACGAATGATTATGTACCTATGTATGTACGTATGTATGTGTATGTATGTATGTGTTCTCGTGCGCGCGCTTGCGCAGCGGAGTTGCCCCAACGCGCTTCTGCTGGAGGACGGTCTGGTGGGTGTGCACATGCTGCTGGAGAACACGCTCACCAAGAGGTGTCTGTCCGGGCGGCAGAGGCTGCTGTTCGTGGCAGATGTGATGCAGGTGAGCGGCACGCAGAGAGCGGGTGGGTGCGTGTGAGGGTGTGTGCGTGTGAGGGGGTGTGCGTGTGTGTGAGTATTTTCTAATGTCGTGACGAACTGAGCCGGGGGACGGAAGCGGCGAAGAAGACGAAATGGAGATGTACACATTCAGCAACGGCTGCACCGAAAAGCGCAGCGAGTAAGCCACTGCGAAGTGTTACGGAAAACTAGGAATGTGCGTGTGTGTGTATATATATGTATATATATACATATATATACATATATATGTATGTATATATATGTATATATGTATATATATATGTATGTATATATGTATATATATATATGTATATGTATATATATATATATATATATATATATATATATATGTTACAGACAGATCGATCCTGACGCTTGACACTGGCCAGGGGGGCCACCTAACCGTATACCTCAACGGGAAGGAGCGACCGCCGAAGCACTCTCCATCATCGGAGGGGCGTTATATATCTGTCCTAACCGTTCTCCCTTATGAAGCCAAGGCGCCGTCACCTGTTCGAATCCCATAGCCAGCTACATACACCAACTCAGATGCCCAGCAACCCCTCCGCTCCACCGTTCGCATGCTCTACCCATGCCCGCGCGATCTACCCATGCAAGCACTCACACCACTGTGCCAACCGCCGCCCTATCCTTGGGAATCCCGCCGCGTGGTGGGGGGTGAACCTCCTCGTGTTTTTCGCGCGTCGACCCGTGTACGACAGGCCCTGAAACTGTACGGCGAGCCTTGGAAGGACATCTTTTTCGACAACGCTGTGGTGATGACGCCGTGTTGGGTTTTGGCAGCTCCCCTGATGCAGGAGGGGAAGAAGCTCGGGGCGGTGCTGTGGCTATCGTCGTGCAGGTAGGTGTACGGATGTGTACGGATGCTCGATCACCTGAGGGAACCTAAAGAGTCAATGTCCTGTCGACGTATTTACGGATGGGGGAGAAGGGATGTGTATGTGTAGACGGAGCCCGGGTACGCATATATATGTATATATATGTATATATATGTATGTATATATGTATATATGTATGTATGTATATATGTATGTATGTATATATGTATGTATATATGTATATATGTATATATATGTATATATGTATGTATATATGTATATATATGTATATATGTATATATATGGTATTAATGCTGGAGAGACGCCTTAAAATGTGGCTCTGGAGGTGAAAAGGAAAGACGACGAAACACGCGGGCGGTCCTGTCGTTCTGCAAACTGAGCTGGGCAGGCAGGCAGCCACCTTGGATGCCAATGAGCCAAGAGATGAAAGAAGATATCTTTCCACCTGTACGACGTCGTACATGAGTGGCTTGTGCAGGGGGACGCTTCTTGGAGTCATCATGAAAACACAAGGCTTGAAGTTGAGCCTGTGCCCTTGCACCATATGCGCTTGTAAGCGACTTTTACATGCATCCTGCCAACACGTACACCAACATCTACACCACCCAAATCTGCCGCCCCGCCGTTGGGACCAGCGCACGCAAACGACGAGGTCCGGTCCAGGAGCTGGGACATGCACGCACGCACGAACACACCATCTACCGCCCCCGCCCCCGCTGTCCTTGCTTTGGGTTCTACTGGCGTATCTCAGTCTATATCCTCCTTGGCATCAGCTTCACTCGTCCACGTGGTTCATGGTCTTCCCCCCCCGCTGCCAAGTCTCGACCTTTTCCTTTCCCCCGTCGGGGGCGCCCCCGTGCAGAGTCAATTCAGAGGTGCTCATGCGTACGGCATCCACGCGCGCCTCACCGATCATACACGCCGTCAGTCGCGCCACCGCCGTACATCAGCTGCTGGCGGCCGCTGCCGGTGCCGGTGGGAGCGGCGCCCCCGTCGTCATCGTGGGCAGCAACGGCGGCGGCGGGGGTGGCGGCGATTCGTTGTACAGCAATAAGGACACGGCGGCGACGACGGCGCCGCCTCCGCCTGGCGGTTGCGGTGGCGGCGGCGGCGGCGGCAACAGCCAGTACGGCCATAGCTCCTTTACGCATCTGAGCAGCAGTCGCCAGAGTTCCACTATGTCGCGGGGTAGAGCCTTCAGGCCGGGGACGGGGCCTGGGCATGGCGAGGACATGGTGGGGCAGTTGTAAGAGTAATAGTATACCAATAGTATACTAGTACCCCATTAGCAATATTAATAAAATCGCGGTAGTAATGAAATTTAATGATCACTTATTTATGCATGAATGATAATAACGTAATGATAATAATAAATAATAATAAGACATGTAAAAAAGAAGGGGGAAGGGTAAAGAAGTGCAAGGTTGATAAACAGGATTGGGGTGGAGAGATGGAGTGGGTGGAGAGATAAAGAAACAAATACAAGTGCAGAACAGGTGCTGTACATTGCCGTACGCAAGTGCCTACACTGAAGGCGTTGTGCCATTTGGTGTAACCCGAACCTCGTCGTGTTGTGTCTCTCATTTTCCCCCCGCCCCTCCCCGCTCAGTGGACCCCCTCTCCCGCCCCGATACCCTAACCTTACCCGACCTTTTCTCTACCTCCCGACCAACCCCCGCGCCAATATGTACGTATGTATGTATTTATGTACTGCAGCTACCCGGTGGTGGCTCCACCGACCACGAGGGCGTGGTGGTGGACTTGGACGGCAAGGGGGGGGGCCCTGCCGCTGCCAATGCGGGGGAAGTACCCGTCAGGTGGGGGCTGCTGCTTTTACTGCTCCTGTTGCTGCTGCCCTGCTGAGCTGCTGCTACTGCTGTTGCTGCTGCTGCTGCCTGGAAAGGGGTTGAGCGGGCGGGGATGAGCGTGGGGGTGTAGTAGCGGCCTCCCCAGAGCCGAACTAGGGCCCCTAGGGCCCAGAGGCACAGATACCTTGAGGGCCCCTCTCCACCACTCGCCTACCACCACCCCTATCGCCTTCCAAACCCCTTTACACACACACCGAGTCAAGAGGAGCCTTCCCTCCCCTCCCCTCTCCTTCCCTCCCCTTCCCTCCCCTTCCCTCCCCTTCCCTCCCCTTCCCTCCCCTTCCCTCCCCTCCCCTCCCCTTCCCTCCCCTTCCCTCCCCTTCCCTCCCCTTCCCTCCCCTTCCCTCCCCTTCCCTCCCCTTCCCTAGCATCTTGCAACTTTGGCACATGTCATCAGTTGTGTGTTTCCCCTTCTGCTCCCTTGGCACCATATAACCCCCTTCCCTCCCCCGCCCCCTTACACTCAGGTACGTGTTGCGTCACTCCCCCTCCACCAGCGCGCTGATGAGGCTGTACAAGAGCACCATCGCACAGAGGGCCCCCGCGGCGGACGAGGACCGGGTCGCAGGTGCGTACGGCAGCTGCTCCGGGGGGGGGGTTGGGTGCTTTGGAGCGTCTGTGCAGGTGGGTTGTAATACTCGGCAACACACGGCTGTGCAGCGACCTGGGGGTTATGTGAAGTAGGGGGTAAGGGAGGCACGAGAGGGCAGAGCAGCATCAAACCAGAGCCACACGTCAGTTTCGAAGACGCTGAAGACCGTTTCTGCAACCGTTTCTGCAACCGCAGTCCCAACCGCCAACCTAAAGTTTTAAAATTCCTTACAACCCAAAACCTTGCTACGCCCTTCTCACTGCGTTGCGCGTGTGTCTGCGTGCCTCTGTGTGTGTGTATGTATGTATGTATGTATGTATCCTAATTAGGTTCCATCCACGAAATTCGGATTCTGTCCAAGGCGGGTGAAGGCGCCTTTGGATCTGTTTATGTGGGTCGTTGGCGGAATATCGTTGTGGCGGTGAAGATCATCAAGGACACCTCAGGCACCAGGTCGCTCAAGACAGCCTGGGAGCTGGCCGTCAACAAGTCCTTGTCGCATCCCTCCATTGTTACGGTACGGCAAGCGTACGACACGTTAAGTGCTTCGGGGAGTGATATATATCCTTTTCTCCTCTCTAGGAGGTGATGGAGGAGGTGAAGGAGGTGGAGGAGGAGGAGGTGAAGGAGAAAGATGGTTCCACTTGCCCTCTCAGAACTCGAATGGATTGGGAGAGAATTTCCTGAGAATCCATCTCACATCTTGAGGAAAGTCTCCCCTCTTTCCCTCCCCACTTACCACGCCTCCCAAGCACCTCCCTCCCTCTGTTTCCCCCCTCCTGGGGGGGACCTTTCACTCGTTCACGTGGTTCGTCTTTCCCCCCCTCCCTACCTCCACCCCTCCCCCCGCCACCTTACCGGCTACCGGCGTGTCGGGTGCAGGTGCACGCCATCCTCACAGACGTCCACCTGCACAAGACCGCCACCCGCATCCTCCGATTCGTGCCGGCAGCCGCATGCGAGGCGCAACAGCTTGTCGCCGCCGCCACCTCCATCGGCGGCGGCGGCGGCGGTGGTGGAAGCTGCGGCGGCGGAAGCTGCGGCGGCGGCGTTGGCGGTGGAGGCTCTCAAGCCGGCTCGTCCGCATTCGGC